ACAGTAACTTAAACAATAGTTGAATAATCCGTGATTATTATTATTTTTTTTTTATATGGTTTCAGTCATAACGGCCCTACAAGGGAAACGGTAATTAAAATGTGGCCCATGACAAAAATGAGTTTGACACCCCTGAACTGGAAGAACTAAGAAGTAATGCAAGGCGCGTGTGTGTATGTCTGTAAAATTCAGGTGATGCCAGGCGGAGAGCAGCATCTGCGCTGTTACCGCAAACAGTGTCCTAGTCTGGTGGACTGTCCCAAGAACAACATCTTGTTCTCTGGACCCGACGCCTGCTGTCCTGTCTGCGCACGTCAGTAGTCGTCATACACAAACTGCACTGTTAATTAATAAACACTTGATATTGAAATGCGGTTGCAAGAAACGGTGTGTGTGTGTGTGTGTGTGTGTGTGTGTGTGTGTGTGTGTGTGTGTGTCCAGAGCCTCTGAGTAACTGCACTTCTACACTGATCGGCAATGAGGTCCTGGCTACAGACGACCCCTGTTTCACCTGCCATTGCAGGGTAACACAACACGACACAATATGTGCACATTTTGACCTTGTTTTGCAGCTTGTGTGTGTGTGTGTGTTGTATAGGATCAAACATGGACGTGCCTGCATCGAGGCTGCCCCCCACTGACTTGTCCTCCCAGTGAGCAGTTCACCCCTCCGGACTCGTGCTGCCCCGTGTGTAAAGGTGACGTGATTGCAATCCTGCTCCATCTCTCCTTTTGTCAAAGGGGTGTTTCAAATTTCGCTGACTTTCTGTTTCCGGTGCAGATTGTGTGATCGAGGGTCAGAATCGACGAGTGGCGAGCGGCAGCAGCTGGACGGACAGCGACGACAACTGTGTCACTTGCACCTGTAATGTGAGTCATATCTTGCATAGGGTTGCAAAAATTCAGGATTTTTTTTTTCAACAAATTTTTGTGTGTGTGTGTGTGTGTGTGTGTGTGTGTGTGTGTGTGTGTCTGTGTGTGTGTGTGATGTCGTTTAGTTGGGCTACATTGAGTGCAGCATTGAGGAGTGTTCATCCACGCCTTGCCCCGATGGTCAGAAACAAGTGAAGGTTGCAGGGAAATGCTGCCATGAATGTCAAGGTAACACAAGCAGCCATCTTGTGAGTTTTTTGTTGTGTGTTTTTTTTTTTTTTGCGGGATGTCACAATGTGTGTTTCTGTGTGTGTTTTAGACTGGGCTGTGTCATGTGTGCACCAGGGCACGGTGTACCAGGCTCACGAGCAATGGCAGGTGGACGAATGCACCGGCTGCACTTGTGTGTCTGGAGAGGTGCACTGTCACAGTGAACGCTGCCCTCCCCTGAGCTGTAATACGGTCAGTACCCACCGCCAAGGGAAGCCTCGCTATTCCCGAGGTTTGGTTGCGGACCAATAGCCAGGACTGACTTCATTGTGTGTGTGCGTGTGTTAGGATGAGATGCCATCGGTGGTACCAGGCTTGTGCTGCCCTCACTGCATCCCCCGGCCGGCCACGTGCATTGCGTTCGGCGACCCTCACTACCGCACCTTCGATGGGCGCATGCTTCACTTTCAGGGGACGTGCACCTACGTCCTGGCGCAGGACTGCCACGGCGGAGACTTCAGGTCAGAAGGTCGCCATGGCAACAGAGAAAAAAAAAGCAGTGTGACACTTAGATGACGCCCTTCCTTCTGCTTTTCAAAGTATCCACGCCACGAACGAGGACCGCGGCCGTCAAGGGGTGTCGTGGACCAAAGAGGTGACCGTCTTCATCGGTGATGTCACGGTGCAGCTGCTGCAGGACTGGCTTGTAAAGGTCTGTCATAATCATGCCGTTTTTTTCACATTATAAAACAGTTCACACCATGGCTGGGTGATTACAGAAAAAAATAATGTTCATGATTCATTTGCCCAATTGTGCTCCTCAGGTAGACGACGAGACAGTGACGTTGCCGTTCCTCCGAGAGCCCTACATCTACTTGGAACGGAAGGGCAACACCATCTTGCTCAACAGCAACATCGGGCTCAAGGTCTGCTCTTGTTCTATTTGGCGGCGAATTAAAAAGTATTCATAGCGCCCTCCCGTCCAGGTCCAGTGGAACGGCCGTTCCCACCTGGAGGTGAGCGTTCCGGGCTCCTACAAGGGACTCACCTGCGGCCTCTGTGGAAACTTCAACAACTACCACCAGGATGACCTCGGCATGCCCAGCGGACAGATAAGCCTGTCGGAAGCCGATTTCGGCAACAGCTGGAGGGTAAAAAAAAAAACAACACCAAAAAAAAAAAAACAAAAAACCCTTTTTCAACATCCAAAATGATTGTAGTTAGTAATGTCACCAACACAAAAACAGAGAGCTGTCCATGTCCATCTTTTTTTTTCCTGTTGACTAATTCGAAAAATGTTTTCTGTAAATTATGACTTCTGGATGTTGACGCAAACTATTTGTACATACTGGTATATGTTATTCTATTTTTTTTTTTTTATTCCTCACACTTTTTTGACACGCAAGTCCTTCCGTGTAGTCTATCCGATTGACATGATTCCAATTTCAGCATATTCCAAATCTTCACGGTTTTCCCCACATTGTAGAATGCGGACCAGTAAACAACTCGGGCTTATTTTCCTTTATTTTGTCCAAAAATATTATTCTGCAAAATAATATCACAAAAAAAACATAAAATAAGAAATGCAAATGTTGTACATGCATGATTCTGTCTGCGTACGTGCCATCAAAGTTCGGCAACAAATGCATGCATGAATGACTGTGTCACCCAGGTGACAAATGGAAGTCACTCCCTGGCAACCTGCCGCCCGGGCGAGGATGTGGACCCCTGCAGGGAGGCAGGCTATCACGCCCGCAAAAGCGCCAACGCTCGCTGTAAGGTCCTCAAGACGGCGGCGTTCAGGCCATGCCACCGCGTGGTGCCCCCTGAGGCCTGGTACGCCGCTTGCGTCTACGACCTGTGTGCCTGCGGGGCCAACACCGATGAGTGTCTGTGCGACGCCCTGGAGGCCTACGCCGGACAGTGTCGGGAGGCCGGCGTTGTCCTGCAGTGGAGGGGACCCTCACTGTGCGGTGAGTCGCAAGGCTTGGCTTTCCAAAAGCAGCAAAAGGAGGGAAAACGGGGTCTGGTGTATTTACATCTTGCCATGTGATTGGGGCAGTATTATCCGAGAGGAGACTGAGGGCACTGTGAAAATGCAGCATTGCACCAAAGTGGCATATGGAGTGGCTGGTTTTCCCAGGTGAAATGCTGAGGGAAAAATACAGAAAGAGAAGGAGATTATATTATTATCCAAGAGGAGACTGGGGGCAGCAAGGAAACTAAACACTGTAGCAATGTGGATACAATGTATTAGTTCATCTTGTAAATGTTGAGGAAAAAAGACTAGGGTCGTTTTTTTTTTTTTTTTTACTGCTTGGCATGTGGTAGAGAAGCATTCTTATGCGAGAAGAGACTGAGGGAACTCTTAGATAAAAATACTTATACCATATGCAGAGAAGTAAATACAAGGGACAAGTACTGGCAAAAGTGGCAACCCCACAGTCTCCACTTTGTTGCAGCAGTCCTTTTCCTTATCGTCTCCTCTTGGATGCCGTATATTGTACTGTATTTCCCTACAGTATGCCAAGAATGAAACACAAAAGGCACTGCTTTTTTTCCCCCAACCAATTCAATGTTAAAACAAACTACTCCACAGTCTCCACTTTTTTGCAGTGCTTCATTTTTGATCTTCTGTCTCTCCCAAAAATATTTTATTACCACAGAGTATTTAACATTCTACAAGAGAAACTCCTATTTTACAGCAAAGTGGAGACTGTGGAGTCTTCAGTTTTGGTCGTGGAAGAGCCCTTAGTCTCCTCGTTTCCTTACCACAGGCCGAAAAACTACTTAATGACTCCACAGTCTCCACTTTTCTGCAACACTTTGCTTTGCGCTGCCCTGAATTTGGAGACTGTGGAGTTGTTGGTTTTCGGCACGTGGGAAGGAAAACCCTTTTTTTTATCCAAGAAAGGACTCGGGGCAGCAAAAACGTGGTGCGCTGCTCTCAATATTGCGATTCCGTATGTGATATATTTTTTTTTCAAGGTCTTCACATGTATTTTTTTTTGAACAAACACAAGCAATACATTAATTCAGATAAACAATATCAGGTATACTATATGTAAATGAATGAATAATAAATAGTTTCCTGACGCCACCAGCGGTAAGGTGCCCGGTGGAGAGGGGCTTCGTGTTTGACGAGTGCGGACCACCGTGCGCCGTCACCTGCTTGAACGTGGGCGCGCCACTGGGGGTGCTGGAGAGCCACTGCTTCAAGCCCTGCGTGCCCGGCTGCCAGTGCCCCGCTGGCCTGGTGCTGCACAACAACTACTGCATCCATCCCAGCAAGTGCCCCAAGATCATCCACGGCAACCAGTCGTGACGCGTCGTCCGCGACGAAAAGCCGCAGTCATCAATCCATTCACGATAGCCCACGTCCGTTCTCACTTGAGTCGTCGGTAAGCTGGAGATGGCCCGGCTGAGATTCGGACGAGAAGTGGGGTTGCACCCTTGATTGGTTTGCCAGCCAATCACAAAGCTCCTATAGACAACAAACCATTCACAGCTACACATGATTTGGAGTCTTCAGTGAAGCCAACATGCATGTTTTGCAGGAGAAAGCCAGAAAGTCCAGTGCCAGAGGCAAAATTCAAAACCCCGAACCTTCAAACTGTGAGGGTGACGCGCCAACCACTAATTCCACCGTGCTCCCTCCATTCAACAGTGACTGACTATGCAGTGCTATTTATATAGACCACACTCACTTCTTGTTTTTTTTGTTCTTTTTTTTAATAAACACATTTCTACATGTTCAAGCACTGTGCATTGTCACACTATCTCAGGTTTGTGGGGGGGGGGGGGGGGAATGAATAAAGCTCATACTACTACTACCAATGCCCAATGTCTATCTGGATTTTTAAAATGACATGGGTCAGCAACAAATTTTAATCAGAGACGGCTTTGTGTCCCTATGTGTATTTTTGACGTTGATTTCAAAAATATATTTACTTTTTTCTAGCACATCATGTTTTTTGAGATAATTTCATATTTGTTTTTTAAGTTTGACCTATAAAGTATGAGTGGTAATTTATAGTTATGACGTTTCAGCAAAAAATTCCACGTGTTGCTGAACCCCACCTTTAAGTCATACATCTATAATAATAATAATATGTAATATAATTCTAAACACCTGATGTGTTAGAGACAAAAAAACTAGGGTAGATTCTGAATCACTGCAAAAAAATGATTTTGAAAAGTTTGAGATTTTTTTTGAACATTTGTTGACCAGTCTTGTTATTCTTCTTAGGCGCAACCTATTTTTAATCCCCCTTGAATTATTTGTACATTTTAGGTTGGGTACGGGCTGTTTTTAATCCTTCAATGACGCCCTTCCTTCTGCATGTACATGTAATTTTTTTTTTTAATCCCTAAAATGACTTCAAGTTGTCATGAAGGTTCTTGCCTGTAGAATTGTGAAGAAAAGAGTCCACTTTTGAATACTCTGTGTCACTTGATCCTCCTTGTCCTCTTGGTGACTGCGGTAACCATAGCAACAGCTTGTATAATTCATAGGCCTGCAGGTGGCGCATCATGCAGCAGGTAAGAAAGACTTTTATTGGGACTCATTTCATAAGGTTCCATCTTCTTGCCCTTTGCGGGTGTGCATGGCTGCTGTGCATCAGTCGGCGGGGACGAGCGAAGGAGACAAATTCTCCTGCGAGGATGCGAGTCGCCTCTACCGCAAAGTGTTTCGTGACGCCTGCACCGAGGATGAAGTGCGCACGGCCGTGAAAAAGGTGAGAACCAATACGCTAAATTGCATTTAGAAGCGAAAGAAAAAAAAAACATATTTGGCTTATTTAGTAACATGAACAAACTTTGATCTTATTAGCTTTCAGAAGATGATAGTGAGGGGACGTGCGTTGGTGAGCGTATTTTGGATGTTCTCATAGAAATGAAGCGGATGAAGGAGAAAAAGGAAAAGGTAAACACAATGCTATCTTGATTTAGTGGTTAATTCCTTCTTTCAACATGCATACAGATGTGGCTTACGAGTGTTCTCATGTTGTATTTGTGTGTTTTGACCGTTTTGAACGGCCGGCATATGTGAAGCTTGCTCAACTCAAAGTTTGGCTTGAAGCACCAAAAAAAAAAAAAAAAAAGCGACCAAGCAATAATCTTGATGGGGCACTTATGAATGTGTTCAGTTATACTGGGAAGTGCAGCTGCTCAATGCAGGCCATCTGGAGGAGCTGCATTTATGCAAGACTCCAGCCGTTGCTGATGCCCCTGTGCTCAAGTGCCCACACCGAACCACACAGGTATGCTACTTTATAGAATATGAATCATATTTATTGAGCAATGTGGTGTATTATGTATCATCCGCATTCACATATGTTGCTCTTCGACACAGACACGAGGGAAAGAAAACATGAGAGGAGTGTGGCAGCTCCACAAGGCAGCTCGACAGAGCTGGGCCAGGTAAGAGAATCAAAATATTAGCAACAGCACACAGTAGGGTGCAGCGCAAACTACAGCAATAAAGTCAACACATTTAATATCAACAAACAAAACTGTGTGAATCAAAACAGTAATGGTGAAAATGTAATCCCCTCCCCCAATGTATTTTACCCCATGTGAGCACGTGTGTGTGCCCTGCGATTGGCTGCCAACCAGTTCAAGGTGTGCCTCGCCTATTGCCCGAAGACGGCTGGGATAGGCTCCAGCACCCCCTGCGATACCTTGTGAGGACAAGCGGTCCTTAACAAGACCACCTAAAATTCACACTCCTGAATATTTAATGTTTAATGCATGTGTGTGTGTGTGTGTGTGTGTGTGTGTGTGTGTGTGTGTGTGTGTGTGTGTGTGTGAGTTCAGACTGGTGACAGAAGGCGTGCAAAGCATACTGGCCTGCCCCTGGCCAGTTCAAACGCCAGGGGTCAGAGGTGAAGTTTGGGGCTTGGTGTCCTGTTCAGACGTGCTCCTCTTCAACGAAGTCAAATACGACGCGGTGACCCGTTTGCTTTATGATGACATGCTGCAGAAACACCACAGTAAGGATAACATTTTATACGAGCCATTGATTTTTGTTTTTTTTTCTCTCCCCGCTCACAATTTGGACCTCCACTTTTTTTGGGTGGCGGTGGTGATGAAACAGGCATGCATGCGTGGGAGGCTCTGTCGCCATGGCGACGTCACCAGGAAGAGCTTTGGCTTGAGGAGCTCGCAGAGGAAGCTTTGGCGTCCGACGACATGGTCGCTTTGGCCGAGCTGCCGGGAGCGTTCACGATATACAGGTTCACTTTTCGCAGCAAAATAAGAATTGCAATACAACTGGAATGGCATCGCAAATCTGACGGACGACTTTAGAATTCGTGGAGTATTTTATTTTTTTAAAGAACATACAGCTTTTGTTATCCTAAAAGGAGGGATTTGAAACTAATTATCCTGCGGTTTTACATTTTTCAATTACAACTTTTTAAAAAAAATCAAAGCATGCGATTTTAGTTTCACAACATTCGTAATTTCATGAATCTGTTCTGTCATAACGTTACAACTTTTTTTTTGTCCAATAACAAATTGAAAAAAATAAAATCTCATTACAAATATTTCCTCACGATACTGTTCTATAACTTTCATTGATTGCAACGTGACACGTTTCTCATTAAATTACCAGTTTATATTCTGAAATGAAATTTTTAATCTTGTATTTTTTCCCCACTCTCGTCAGTGTTACTAAATCTGTAAAACAGTGGAATCCCTGAGATTTAAAAAAAAAAAGTATTTTTAAATTATATTTATGGGTGGGGTGATTGAATCCAACACCTTTTATATTTTTTTTATGGAATTGATTTGCAGCTTATCCGCATTTTTCAAGAATTTTGAGGTGCATGCATTGATTGGGAATCAACTGTATGAATTTTTTAGACTATTTGTGGGCCAGGCCTGTATACAATTGTATGCATTTGTTCCTCCAAGAATTACTTTTTTTTTCTTGTTATCATCAACCAATGTTGGAATGTAATTGAAACCAGTAAACTCAATCATTTTTGTCCTCCAGAGTTTGTCCAGAGTCCAGAAAAGAGTGCTTCACTGCAGTTTCTCTCTTGTATAAATTAAACGCGTGTCGACGACAAGAGAGGGAAGAACTAACAGCCTTAGTGGAGAGGTACAAACAACACCTCAACCTTTTAGACATTTTTCAATGATTCAGTCTTGCTTCTTGTGCCATTGTAGGCTGGACGAGGAGAGTTTGAGACTGTTGTGTTTGTACATTCGCTCAGCAACACTTGGAGCTCAAAGAGAAAAAACAGCCTACGATGCATATTTGGCCATCAGACAATCCTGGCACAAATGGTGAGTTGCAACAATTGCAATATCAATTTGACACAAGTTGATTCCGTGTCTTTTCAGGCCACAAGTTCACAGTCCGTGCAGAGAAGAGCGGGCTGCCGCATTACTACGCGGTGATGACGACATACTTGGGCACATGAAAGATGACGACGACTTACGATTATCACAGCAGGTGTTGGACGGCATTAAGATTTTGGGGCAGTGTTCGGGTTTCGACCTGGGGTATCAAGTTAGGGTTGCGGTTTCGACTTACTGTTTTCTGGGGGGGGGGATTGGGTTAGGGTTCAGCATTTGGGTTTTGGCTCGGAATGTAATCCAAAAGATGTTGTGGTGTGAATATACCAAGTTTCTTGCGTTACATCCTAAATAGAATCCTTTAACTCCAACTGCAGTCATTACTGCCGTTATTGGTGCTGACTCAGCAGCAGGAGAGGAAGCAGCTGGTGCGCCTGTTGCATGGAGTCACTTTGGAGGATGTGCAAAGACCGGCTCCCTCAGATTGTCTTAAAACAAGTATTGTCTTCATATTATTACTTTAAACTGCTTTGCAGACCTCACGCCTGGAAAATAAAAGTCTTCTTTGCCTAATAGGTTGCATAAAAAGGCTGCAACAAATTTGGGGTCAGAATCAACCCAACTGTGACATCAGCAGCCCCCCTACGGAGTGGACCAAAGACCAGCTAGAACGAGCCGCCTTGGTCCTTTTGGTTGACCTCCTGGAGATCCAGGAGAGGGATACATCTTCATTCCTTCGGGCACTGTTGGATGGGGTAATGTGAGCGATGATGTCATCAAATCCAGTCACAAGAAAGTGACGCAAGAATTTGACTTGGTTTAAGAATGAGCATCTCCAAAAGCTGAGACAAGAGTACCAGTCCAAAGTGCACGCACAACACCTGCACACCAACCTGCTCCAACTCTTCAATCCAGATGCCTCTTCATCTACTTCACATGCTAATCTGAGCGGCCAGGGGCAAGTCCCGCATCAGTCTCGTGGACCTGCAGAGGCCCAGAACTTCACCACCGGGTTGCCTGAATCTCAGACAGCAGCTGATACGATTGGCACACGACATGATGGAGTCCAATCTGAGGACGTACCTGATAAACAGGGTGTCTGCGCAGGTACCACCAAAACAACGGAAACTACAATTGATGCAATTTCAAATTAGGGTTAGGGCTAAGGTTCCGTTTCCAGTCAGTGTTGGGTTTGTTCATTGTACTTTGCAGTTCTGATTGCAAAGACAGATATTTTGATAGAGGTGCAACTAATAAAGTGTCCTGTGAGTGATATACATTTACTCCTTCCAGACTGTGGCGTGACCCTGGGAGGTCTGCCCTATTTGGAGATTTTGTGTGTTCCAGATACATCCGGTAAAGTTGACGGAGGAGGACCCGATGATGAGGAACAAGACAACGAGACGAAGAACTGTGAGGATCAGGACTCGCTAATCACTCTGGCTTGGAGCACACGGCTTGAGGGCAGCACAGGACAAGACGGGGAGGCAGCACACGCTGTTGAGGTCCAAGTGCAGCCCTGCGGTGAGGGCGGCACATCCGAACACGCAGCCGGAGAAAGCCGAGAAGGAGTGATAAGCCAAGCTCAACTTGAAGAGCAACATCG